TAGTTCATCATCAGAATCTCTATGTGGGGGTTTTATAAGGGATCTAACAAGAAGATGAAGCAAACCAGAAATGAAAAAGATAATAGCAAGTATTATAATGATTAAAAGCATACTTGGGCTTACTTTATTACTACTCAAACTGATACCACTGCTTGAATGTGAACTGGAGAGGAGAGGCGAAGGTGGCTGAAAGAGAGAGGATGGGTGTTGTAAAGGAGAAAGAGAACTCTTTTCTTCAATTTCAAGAACCCAACCCATTTTTTCTAGAGAATTAATTTAGAGAAAAATCATCAAGAGCGGAGATTTATACTTCCATCATGTGTTGTGAAGTGTCCCATATGACCAAAGAACTTCATAGCAAGTTCCAGTGTAAAACAAAGGAAGTGAGATACAAGCGGGCTTTAAGATCTCCAACCCTGCAATCAAATTTGAGATAATTTTTACATCATTTTATATCGAATTTTGCACCAAACTAAAAATCACTTCCACCATTACACTAAAATTTACATAAAATGAATAGTATTTAATCATTTTCTTATCTTTTTTATTCTTAATAATTTATTTATTTGAAAAAATATTTCTTAATTTATTTTACAACATACATAAATTACAAAATAAAAAAATTACGCTAAATTAACAAAAATATTAAATTCATTAATAAATATAAAAAATATATATAGTACAATAAATAGAAACACTATAAAAAAGAAAATATTAAATCATGTCAAATTACTAAAATATCGTAATGTATGTATGTAGTTGTTGTAATTATTATTTTGTGTTGCAATTTTAATTAATTCATTAATTATTATTTTTTACATTATTATTTTTTTTAAATGCAAATAATAATAATCATAGTAAGAATTATAATAATAAAAATTTGTTCTATTAAAAAATATTGGCAAATGGAAAAAGATGGTAAATTTGACTCTGCACCATTCTGGTGCAAGCATTTTTGGTGTTTTGGTGCAAGCTTTTGGAGATGGCATTGTGATAAAGACTTAAGGTGTTACTGCAGGTATTTTTTACTGGAAAAAGAACTTCAAAGTCAAATTTACAGAGAGGGAGATTGGCTGGAAGGGAAAGTCAATGAGATGCCAGAATGTGAAGATTTAGAATCTCCAGCATAACAGCATTATCTTTGATCTTATTATCTCAAAATAATAATTATTCCCTTAATCAAAGGCTACAAAATTTCAAAAGATAAAAGTTTCTCTCAACTCGACAATCCTGTACCCATTTAGGGCATGTTCAGTAGAGATTAAAATTGGATTAAAATTAAAAAAACTAGTCGTTATTGTTGACTTTTATTAGACGAGTGAGACCCAATAACGGCTATATTTTTAATTTTAATTGGATTTTAAGTTTAGCTAAACATGCATACTCTACCTACCAAACAAAACTATAAAGGTCCGTTTGATAGGTAAAGATGAAAAGAAATTTCAATTTCATATTAGTTGGAAAATAAAAACTCACAAAACCCATATGAATTCGTTTTTCATGAAAATAAAGAAAATACAGCTTAAAGTGGTTCTATCTGGGAATTCAATTTCTATTTTCACGTTGCAATCAAACGGTCAAAGTGAAATTCGTTTTCTTCATATGAAATTCGTAAAAATCAAACAGGACCTAAGATCTCATCAAATGCTAGGGTTTCTGGGTTGACTTAAAAGAACTCCATTTCAACAACCCCAATGCACATTTAAGTCACCTGATTAAAAAAGTAATCTTGAGCAGTAAAATATTGAAATTTCATTGTGAACTAGGACACCACCATTTCACTCTCTGTATTATACAGTTCTTTATTTCTTCCACACTGATCGCACTCTCTCTTTCAGTGCTTCTGTTCTATTCCTTTTTCTAATCTGACTCGAAGAACGTCCCTTTGTGGAAAAGACAAATCACACAAACCGGAAGTCAAAGCGATGAATTTTGGGAGCTCGTAAAATGGAAGATGACACAATTTTTCGTTTTCAAAGCGTCATCTCGAGGGTTACCACACTGGACCCCATAGTCTTGGAAAAACAATTTTGTACTTTCTCATGTTGTCTTTGTGCCTATTAGCATTTTGACGCCTCCTCTGTGATATTTTTATATATGTTATTGCCAAAACAGTACAATAATTTACTAATTTACAAGCCGAAAAATTATTTTTTCTTGTCAAATTATTTTCTAAAGGCCAATGATGATTGACAGGTCTCCAGACTAACCAGATACGAGGTTCAATTAGGTAGAATCTTTCAAAAACCATTTTGTTATACTTACATCTTGATTAACATTTCATGATATTTCAAAGACGGGTATGCAGTTCGAACAATAATTGACCCTTGTCAGATACTACTGTCGAATTTCATGGAATGCATAATTTTTATCAATTTTTCACCACATAATTCATTCACTTTTCTCAAAATTTGCTAAAAATTTAATTTTTTAGCAAAACCAAACATGGATTTAAAGTTCATAAATAAATGACAATGTTCTTGTATTTCATGTTTAATTGCATCTTTTAAATAATTGAGAACATCTTCAATATAATATTTATATTTATATATCTATTATTACCAAAACAGGCAGTAATTTTATAAGTCGTATTTTTTTATTGGATAAGATGTTTATAAATAAATGATAACAAAAATAAAATTTAGATTTTTGTTTATTTTCATATCATGTTAAACTTTAACATCATAAGTTTTGTATTCCCCTCAAGTATCAATTAGAGATGACAATCGAGCCAAACGGCTCGTCGGCTCGTCAAAAAACAAGCCACGAGCCGCTGATGAGCCCGAGTCCGAGCAGGATGGCTTGCTAGGCGAGCCGGCTCGTTTTTTGATGAGGGGCTCGTGATTTTTTTTAAGGTTTAGAACATGTATAGTTAAAAAAAATAATTAAAAAATTCAAGCTCGATCCACGAGTAACGAACCGAGCTCGTGCGTATACGGGCCGAGCCACCACTAGTATCAATCATCAATGTGGAGGTGGTTAATTAACAAAATGCTTGTGGCATGTGTGATCTTTAGTCAATTTGCAGTAGGGATTTCAAATTTTTCAAAAATATGCATCGCGCGATTTTAAATCTTTAGAAGATAGAATCCCTCGAATAGCGTATGACAGTGCGTTCTCAATTCACAATAACATTATACCCTTTATTCGGTATGTGGGCTCAAAATGATATCATGGCCAATGTCACATTCATTTAGCCAGTTGTAAATATTTTGAGGGGCTATGAATGAATTTGGAAATTATTGCATTTCTTGGTTCTTATAATTATGAAGCATAATCATGTTCAAATGTAGTCAATTATGGATACACTTGAATTTTGCATTTTCATTTAAAAGGCTGCAACCTAGTAAAGTTTGATAACTTTGCACATGCTAATATGAAGTGACGTCACCTATATACAGCCAATTTGTGTATGCACTTCACACGTACGGTCCACTTGTTATCATGAATGTGTACAAATATAGGGACTATACTTATTTGCAATATTAAAGCCATTTTACAAAGCTTTGGGTGAGTTGGTTTATGTACTTAAGTCTTAGAACATGCTTTCATAAGACAAGTGGTATCATGTCAAATAGAAGATTGAACGGATTAAAGAGAGAGGCGGTCATAATGGTGCGAGATTTGAGCTATCACACAGGATCTCATCATTGTAGGTGCACCAAAAAAATTTGTTATTTGTGTATATATGTGTATAATTATATATTTAAAATATTTATTAATTTTAAAATTTAAAATTTTTATTATTATGTTAAGTTAAACGGCACAATGTTTATGAAAATGGAATTAAAAGATACACAAATGATTGTTTTTATTTAACATTGTTGCATTTATCATTCCTAATTACATATCATACAAAGACATTTTTATTAAAGCAAAGAAAATGATTCAAATGACTTAGGCCCCTTCATAAATAATTTCAATGTATTGTGCTTAACTATTTTCATTTATTTATTAATTGTAGACATTTGATTTGGTATGATATGCAATTGCATAAAATACTAAAGTTAAGAATAATATAATTGACTAATTATAATTTTCTTAAATAGTTTCATGTTTTAAATAATGTCAAGGAAAAGGGAAAAGTATAATTTATATGAAGAAACATTTTGATGAAAATGTCACTGTAGAGTGTTCACGAAAATATGTTCGCTTTGTAAATTACTGCAAGTGCACCGCTCGTTAACCAGTAATAAAGTGGAAATTGTAAAATTTCGAGTATCGTCTGACGAGGATTGATTTGATTTGATTTCTATTATCAAAACTTTAACCGAATCTATTAAACTCAAGATGGTTGGAGATTTGAATTTTATAACTAAACT